AAATGAGTAAAGGAGCAGTTCGGTTTGACGGAGGCAGAGGGACCAAACAGAATTTAGCCACACTTGCATGCATTGTGAAGACCTGTAAACTCCTGTAACCCAAACGGCCCACACGTATCACGAATGTTGGTTCTGAGTTGACGCGAACAAGCAAAATGAACGAGAGAAAATGCCGATTGTCCTTCCCCCCCCCCCCTCCTCTGCGAACAAGCCGAACAATGCGGGACAGGTTTCAGCTACCAAATCTCCGAGAGCACGCAAAATGCTAACACAAATTACAGTTAACATGGCTGTTCTAAACTGTTTTACTCCCTACACCATCACTAGTTTCAGGAACTCCACAGGAGGAAAACGGGGTTAGGTGAATATGAACGTTTGAATGAACGTCGAAGCAGGTTGAAATGAAATAGTAAGATTTACCTTCGCTGCTGCTCGACTCTTGGCGGCGTTGAATTTTCGTGGAAGGCTTTTCGTCATCTTAATCAGTCTTATAAGATAAATTACAAAAACAGTACAAACAAACAGACACACCTTCAGATGTGACCACTTCCTTCTTGATCACTTTAGCATCATTATTTTTCTTCTTTTTCTCACTTCTTTTCTTCTTCTTATCTTTCTTGTCCTTTTTCTTCTTCTTATCTTCTTTTCCATTGCCAGCCTTACCGATTAGCTTTCTAAAATAGATAAGGTTATAAGGTTGCCTGGAAGAGCAGGCAACAACAAATGAGAAGGGAATACAACCAAGACTACTTCATGAGTTTCTTCTTCTCCTTATCACTTAGGCTCGCTAGGAAGGCCTTCATCTGCTCCGCTTCGCTTGGCTCCGCTTTCAATGTACTTACATCTTGATCCTCACGAATAACTGAAATGGTGTCATAAAGAGTGAAACAAAACTAGCCAGGAAAACCGTTCAGCTTCCATGGAACTCCAGCGAAGGCCTTGGCTTGAAAGCATCGATAGCGTTCCGAATGCTGGTTACAGACACAGAGACCAAAACTGCTGCCTGAGTCTTACAAGCAAGGTGTGAGCAGTCAATTCTTTGAAAACTTCTACTAGTGCGCCCGGGGTGTAAGGAGCCAGGCTATTCTGAACCTTTCGGATGTGATTTCCCTATCCAGACATTCAGACTACCACAGGGATCAATCCTCTACCCAAATCGAGTTTCAGAGCCGAGTGAATCGAATCTCTAATACAGTCCCTAGTCGTGAAGGATAATTAATGTCCGCATATCTTATCAC